CACTATCTGATAAGCTTATACTTATCAGATAATCAACTAGTCACTTACATCCCTAGTGCTTCACACACACACCCCCACCCCAGGCCAACCTCTACTACACCATGTCTTCCATTTTCTCCCAACCCGCTTCTTCACACTCACAGCCTCACCCCCACTCTATTCCTTCCCTGCCATGGAATAGGTGCCTATGACTAGGGCAACAGTATGAAAGGACTCCATGTTTGTAAAACTAAACTAGCTTTTTATTACAAGGCCGGTTGACAGAGATATGGCATCGGGAGTTTGCAGTCTAGCAAACTGCAAGCAAATTGGCTTCCTGATGCTTCCTCCCTGTGTGATCCTACCACCAGGTTGCATGCAGTGTTACATTCACTAGCAATCTCTCCACAGTCACTCCTGTAATGCATCCCTTGCACTGTTTGAGGTTCCATGGAGCAGCAGACTCTCCAAGTCACCCAATCTCAAACTTGCCCACCTAGCTGATGGCAGGATTTGCCGTCTGTTACACAGAGGGAGAAATTGGCTTTAATTATAAATGATCCAGAATCAAGTAAATATAAAAGTTACTCAAAGATGCAGAATAGCTGCTCAAAGATGTAAAATATGTATCTCTGACAGTTAGCTGGAGGGTCCTGGTTACAAATTTCCTGGTTACCAGAGACTCCTATCTCCTAGCTTTTCCCCTTTATATGGTCCAGTGGAGAAAGTGGCCGACAGGTGATGCTCATTGGCCGTATCAGCTGTTTCTTAGTACTTGCCCAGTTGGGCATCTCTCTGGAGCAGGGTCAGTTGTTCCCTGTTTCCCATCATTTCTTGGGGCATTCAAGGGGCCGATTCTGTTGCATATGACATGATGCAGTCTCCTTGTGAAACATACACATTACCCTCATGGAGGCTGATAGCTAAGGACTCCTGAGCAGTGATGAACTATCTAGACAAGGGATGTGGTTTTAAAGGAAAACCCACTGTTCCCCCTTTTAGTTTACTAGCACCATTTAACTCCTTGTTCAAAGGCCATTCTGTCCAGACTTTGCTGAATTTATTTCTAGACCGAGCCACAGCATGATTTCCTGACAAACTGTACATGAATGGTGCATTATTTGGCAGAAGCTTCATGGCACTGATAAATACAGATACCTAGATTATGTGATTGTTGTGGTCAAAACAATAGGGATTGCATCTGTACACCTGTCACAAGATGCAGGTCACAATTGTTTTCGCTTCCTCCTCTAATGAAATGCTATCACAAATATTTTCATTATGCATATTAAAGGAGAATCATAATTTTGTCTTTAGCAATTATGGATGCTTTTGTAAATCTTATTAAATGGCCTTCACAATTTATTAATGTTAATACTGCATAATACCACATCTACCTGTAAAATCATTGAGGGTAAATCCCTTCATAAAAACATGTTAAACCTTTTCTGGTCTATTACACCTAAAATGCATGCATCCCACTAGCACATTAAGCCAGGGTATTGAGACATTTAATCCCGACTTATGCCCAGAAGGGTAGTACATTTAGCGAAGGCGTTTCAGCAACTAATTATTCCTCAATTCTGAACTGCCATCAGTTGATGCAAATCCACTCCAGTCAATGCCATATACAGCTTTTTGGAGAAAGGGAGAAATAAATTACAATTAAAGCATAATTTTGGTCAAGCAACAGATATTAGAGTTAAGCATTGTAAAGTATCCATGGACCTCAATCTTAGAATCATAGAACATTAGAACTGGAAGGGACCTCGAGAGATCATTAAGGCCACCCCCTGCCATCATGGCAGGACTAAGCACCATATAGATCAGTGTTTCTCAAAGTGGTCTGCGCACCTACTCTGAGAAAACTGCTACCACGCCACACTGGTTTGTTTATTTATCGACTCTACATCCATGGAGCCTCACGGCTCCCATTGGCTCCAGTTCACCATTTGCAGCCAAGGGGAGCCGTGGGAAGACCAGCTAAATTCAGAGGTGGTATGAACAGTGATGTATGTTTCACACCAAAGAGTATGGGTTTGAGCTGATGGAGAGGCGTGGCTACAACCAGAAAAGCAACCAAAAGGAAAGCGTAAAAAGGTAAAATAAAGAAATTAGGGGCAAATCACCATGGTTCCAATGGCCAGCACCAGGTACTTGCACCACTGAAAATTCACTTTAAGCCAGCAAAATAGGAAACAAGTGAGACTCAGGCCATGTTTACATGAAAGCTGCTACAGTGGTACAGGCAGGGTACAGTGGGATAAATGTTTCTTATATTAACCAAAAGGTTTTCTGCCCTTAGAGTATTTATTTCATGTGTCCTAGAGGTGGTAGCTAAAGCTCCTCTGTCAATCCGCCACAGCTACACTAGAATTAGATCAACCTACCTAGAGGCATGAAATTTCAGTCCTCAGAAAAGAAGGTAGGTTTAATTTATGTTTAAGTGTAGCACATCTAAGGTCCTGGTCATGTAGCTCATGCATGGGGTGAATTCTACTCTTGCAGCACTGATTTCTCTCACAATACTGACTTTAGCCTCTAAAGTTGTACTTTTTTTTCAATTCTTAAAATGCATCAAAATATTTCTATTGTCATTAGGGATGTAAAATCCTATTTAACTGGGGGAGGGGAGCTGCTCCAGTCCCCACCCTTAGGAAAATATTGTCTTTTCAGTATTTACCCATGCAAGCATTACTGTGTGAGATTGCTTTGTTTATTTAAACCTGGGTATACATGTAACACACAGCCTGATGTGGAAACATTTATCAAACCCTGCAATAAATTCTTGCTATGTATGAGGGAGGATGGCTAAAACATAGTTGTACAGGCTATAAAGGCTGATGTTTTCGTTAAAAAGTGATTTCAAAGAAATATAATCAAAATAAATGTTTCTCTCTAGTTCTTTTTCTTTTCTAAATTTAACAATTTATTTAGTGCACTGTCCTGAAAATAAACAACAAAGGAAAATCCGAAACATATAGTTGCCATAGCTGGATAGATTGCTCAGATTTGGAACAACTAATTATTAATAATATTTCCAGCAAAACAATGCATAGAGGCCTAAAGCAATATCAAGAGCCATGACACTAAAAAACAACAACACAGCTAGACACGAATTGTGTGCTGAATGGTTGTGCCTTGGCTGGCTCTGCACACAGAGCCTCTCTTTGTTGAGTGGGTTTAGTTGCTTTCTCGCAGCCTTCTCCTCTCTGTCAGACCTGGCAGTGGATACATGTTGGTTGATCCAAAACCCATTCACCCTTGCCAAAAGGGAAACTTTTCAAAAGAAGCTGGCAAATAATTGATTTTGCCGATTTGAGCTGTACTAGGGCAAAAACATCACAGCAGAGGCTGCTTAGACGAGTCAAGAAAATGCCAAAAAAAAAAAAAAAATCATCACATTCACATAAAAGATTCAGTATCCAAATGTTGCAATTTTCTGCCTTCAGCTAAAAAGAATACTGCGTAAAGCCATCATTGGACATCATTCATTCAATTGCAGTCAACAGCAAAAATAGTGAGAAAGAACAAGAACATTGGAAAGATTAAGTTTCCAGTTTCAACAAACAAAGGAAAATTTAAACAAACTTCAGGATTTTGTGAAACTTTGAAACTTTTTCTTTGAAACTTCTCTGTTGAAAAATGGTCTGTTTCTAAATCAATTAGATCTATGAGAGTTTAATCCAATATTTACATTTACACATTTATATGTACAATTATACATTTTATAAACAAACTACATGGTCCACGTGAAGCCAGAAGCCAGTTAAATAGTGGCTTGCTAAGGACTGCATTTATGGACAGGGATGTAATTATTTGGATAGGATTATCTTTGGGTCTAATTCACCAGAAAACCATGAAGAACCGACAGTTCCAGAAACTAGCCAACCATTAAACCATTAAACAAAGCCACAGATGTTAGAAGACATGAAATAATATTTCAAATGGAGGCAACATATAGGACACAAAAATCTAGACTTGTTTTCAGGCAAACCAACACAGTTGCTTCTCTTCCATCCCCCCAAGAAGTTCAAACAGATTGAGCATCTGTGAAAAAAGAGAATGCCAGAGACAAATCTGGAACAATATGAAAGACAGATGAAAATCCAGCAAAAGGATAAATATGGTATAAGTGTAAACAAGGACATCTTTATGCAAAAAACACACAAAAGAAGAATGCAAGAGATGAATGAGCAACCCCAGGAGAATAAAGACCATATATTAGTGGGTCAAGTAACTGAAGCAGGGGCAGGATTATGTCTGGTTTTAACTGCAGCAGTCCAGCCATATCAAATATTCAGATGTAGCCTTTTGGTAAATGACACTCCTCTTTCAACATGATACCACCATAAGATTATGATAAGCCCAAAATAACCAGGGATGAAGATTTATTTTGCCAATTTTATGCTATTTCTTACAAAAAATCCAAAACCTTCGTATCACTAAGAGAATCTTTTAAAGGTATGCTCAACATTTCAGTGCGACTGCCAAGAAAATTCTGCCTTCACCAGAAAATCTGCCATTATTTGTGTCTGTCAGCCAGGGACGCATTATGACTTTCATGGGCCCTAGGCACTTTTGCCTTCGTGGGCCCTTCCTCCATTAAAAAATATTAAAAATTATGTTTGATATAACTTTAAATACTTCAACATTTTATTTTTTTCTGTTTTAGGCAAAATGTAATAGACTTTCCTGGGCCCTAAAAGTTCATTTTTTTTCTGATGTGAGAAAAAAAATTAAAACATTTTCTTCAACCCTAAAAGTTCATTTTTTTCTTCTGATTTTAAAAAATTAAAACATTTTTGTGGGCCCCTAAAAGTATCATGGGCCCTAAGCACGGTGCCTACTGTGTCTAATGGATAAGTTGGCCCTGCTCTCAGTAAGACAACAAAAGGTTAAAATATGATCCAGGAAAAGGCATTCACCAGTGGCTGTTATGCATTGACATCCTCAAATAAAAGATGCATGCAGCAATGTCCAACTGTTGTATGTGTAGGAGAAAAGTTACCATGGAGTACCTTTGGAGGCAGGAGGGAAGAAAAAAAGTCCTTAGCAGTATCACCACCCAGACAGCAAAGAATGACGTTGCACCTGCAGAAATAGGATACTGTGGTTAAACAGAGAACAGGACAGGATATACTAATCATGAATCTCTCACGATCATTATTTCTGGCATGGAGACACAATATGGAGGAATAATCTGCAGCAGTGGCTGTCAACCTTTCGAGAGTAGGTACCCCTTTAAGGAGTCTGATTTGTCTTGGGTACCCTCAAGTTTCACCTCACTTAAAAACTACTTGCTTGTAAAAATCGGACGTAACAATACAAAAGTTACTGAAAAGCACATTGTTACTGAAAAAATTGCTTACTCTCTCATTTTTTACCATAACATTTTAATATAAAATCAACTAATATAAATACTGTATTTTCATTTCAATGTACAGAGCAGTATAAACAAGTCATTATCTGTACCGATTTTAGTGAGTGCTTTTTATGTAGCCTACTGTAAAACTAGGCAAATATCTAGATGAGTTGATGTACCCCCTGGAAGACCTCTGCGTACCTCTAGGGTTATGTGTATCCCTAGGGAAAAACTAATGATTTGAAGCACTGGATCATTTAAGTCACATACTGTTTACCTGTGCCAAGCTAAGAATAATCAGAATTAAGTGTTGCAAGGCAGCAAGATGTCCAGTAATCTCTATTGCTAACAGGCACATGCGAAATGTGTGGGTATGCATAGGCACAGGTGACAGAACACTACGTATTCTGGCCTAATCCTCAATCTCTGCCAAGTCATGTGCTAAGGGGCAGTTAAGTGAATGACCGTGTCACATTTATACTCCCCTAATGTGTGGCCCAGGTGTACATTTGTCTTCCAGAACTCTAAGTAGCTTTCCCAAACCTCAAGAGCTCTGCATAAGCTCGAGAATGTGTCTCTCTCCGCAACAAGAATTGGTCCAGTATAAAGGTATTACCTCACCCAACTTGTCTCCCTAGGATCCTGGCGCCAACATCACTGCACTGATGAAGATAATTATGAGCAGATTAAAACTACTTCTCTTTTACTGGAAGTAGAAAAGGGCAAATAGTAGATTTTTTTATTCATTTGGCTATACATTGTATCTAAATTTGAAAAACTTCATTTTGGGACAAAACATTTTGTTGTTGCCTCAGGCTTGTTTTTAAAACAAAGCTAAAGTAAGACTGATTTTTATTTGAAATGACTTTTGGTTTCAGAACTTGCTTTAAAGAGTTTCATTTGGAAAATGTCTAAATGTTTCTTTTCTGACCAATACAATTTGGCAAACTCAACACAAATTCAAAGTGTTTTAATTGACCAGAATCTTCATTTGTTGGTGAAACATAGTTTTGGACAGAATTTTTTGTCTTGCTCAGAAGTCATGGTACTAGGGTTGCCAGGTGTCTGGTATTGAATCATACAGCCCGGTATTTGTGCCTTCTGTCTGGTAAAAAAATTCAGAAAATACCGGACAACTAAAATGCAGTCGTAGCCCAGGAATTAAAGGAGCCGCAACTGCATTTCGACCCTGGTCCTTTTTTTCCCCCCTCAACAACTTTTTCTGTGGCTTCCCCTCCCCCCCCAAAGGCGGGTTCTGGGGGGGGGGAGGGTGTTTTTCTCCTCAACAACTTTGGTGTCTCCCCCCCCCTTTTTTTTCCTTCAACAAATTTTTTCCCTGGTGTTTTTTTTTGGGGGGGGGGGGGGGTTGGAGGAGAGAGTCGGTATTTTTTGTGAAACCACCTAGCAACCCTAACATGGTACTTGGGTGTTGAATGTATTTTTTAATTATACCTAGATGGCATAAGATGGCACTTCCTCTCCAACCTGAACACATCACTGCAGGAGGGGATGTAGCTGGTTCAGTTGCTCCTTAGCTGCCTGTAGAGAGAAGATTTATCACAGTGGAGCAAAGAAGCCGTATTGGATTTTGAGGACCTGGCCTTCTATAAGGAGGAACTCACATTTATGGATGACACAGTCGTTAAAGTGAAAGGTAGAGGGTTTCCAGCAGATCAGAAACTGCACAGTTATCTGAGGCACATAGATAGATAGCAAATAAAAGCACAGGATTAGAGATTTGATCAGGCACAATAGGATCTTGATTTTCAAGTGTTGAGAAATCTCATCTCCAGTTCAAGTCACTAGGGGCCACAGGTGTTTAATCTAAATATTATGCAATATGAGCTGATATTGCACAGCAGTTAGTGTCATTCCTGTAAAGCATAAATCACATTGGATGCTATGGAGGCAAATTTTGGTACCCTTACCAACAGTGAATAGCAGTATCTGAAGGGAAAAGGGGAGAGAGAGAAAACGTAAAAATCTAAAACTAAATGGTGTCTCAGTTCTAACACAGAAATACCTGCCTTCTTTAGAATGGTCTACAGTACATGAAGCTCTAATTCACAAATAGAATGCTTTCACTCCCATTCCACCAGCCTCTCTCTCAAACCACGCACACCTGCAAACCAGCCAGTGAAGGTCAGGGAAGCCTATTACATTCATTCAAATCAACAGCACTACCTCCAGACAAAGGTCTACTTCAATATGAATCAAGAGGCAGCATACAACTCAGAATATAGCAGTCTGTCATACAATACAAACAGGAAGTCCCACTCTAAATATAAGCACACAGTATAATATTGCATAAAATAAAAAACATGATCAATACATGTTTCAGAAAGGGGACATTGGGGAAAAAAATGCTGGGAAGTGAGAGTTATTTGGGATTCTAAGCTTCAGAGCCACTGAAAGTGAGCAATTTCGTTTGCATAATAAATTTTGAGCACTTGAATCCTTAGATAGTTCATGTTGTGTAAATCTCTACCATCTTTCACACTGCAGCTGCTGCTAGTTTCCACTGCAGAGTTTTAAATAATTCAGTGAGTTCTTGAGAAGCAGGCAATGTTTTGCATAATTTTGAAGGTTTATTATTATTTGTTCCAAATGCTGCTGATATCGACAGGACTAGCTCAATGGGAGTTATAAAGATGCCCTGTGAATAGAAATTCAATACAAATTCATAAACATAAATAGGAGGGGAAGGAAGAGAAGAGAAAAGTATCACAATGTCAACATACATTTTGAAGCTAAAGTACAAAGGTTCTGAAAGTGATGATCAAGATGCAGAAGATTAGTTATTGTTTTACTTGTGTTGCCTCTCAGTACTTGAAAGGATAATGATCCCCTTTGATTATCCTACAAGCAACTTAATCAGTTTCTAGTTTGAGTTCTCAACCATTTTAATTTTGGGGTGTTAATTCATTAATTCAGACCTGCCACTCTTCCCCTACTGAAACCAAAGGAAATCACAAAAATTACACACCCACCCACTTCAAGTGCTGACATAAAAAGACCACATTTAGAAAGACCTGTGCAATCAGTGTTGCTAAAAGATTAAATTGAAAACAAAAAAGATGGGATCTTAGCTTCCAAACCAGAGATCAGCTAGAACTAGGCATATGCAAACTAAGCAGTTGTTTAGAGTCCTGAGCCACTCAAGAGGACCCTATTTTCTGTTTTTGCATGTGTTGTGCGTGGGGACTCTCCAAAATACTCCTGCTTAGGATTCCCATTGGACTAGCATCGCCTCTGTTGGAGATTATGTTTTGCTTTTGAACAAGAGAATTATAACTCCTAAAATTATTATTTTTATTAGCCCAAGATAACTTTATTGACATTTTAAGGATATGAACCCCCACACAGGATGTTTTTCAATCCATAGCCTTCAGACATTGTGGAAGTCAACCACCACCATCTCTGCAAATATCAACTTAACCACTGATTCCTCCAGAGTTGGATCAGATTGTATGAAAAACATTTCAATAAATCCTTGCAGAGATGGATGCTCTGCGGACCTCGGTGACCTCTTCAGAAGGGAAGTTTGAGACCCTGATTCCTCTTATCAATAGCTTAGATAAAAGATTGAATAGTTCAGAGCACTGGATTTATTGCCTTTTCCCTTTCACATACACTGCAATAAAGCAACAAGTCAGAACCTAAACCCTTCGCAGACTTTGATTTGATCAGCTTTAAAAAAATAAGCTTGAACCTCACAGGCTTCTAATAGAAGAGAATGAACGGATACATAAAAGACAGATAGAATTTAAATGACTGGAAATTAAAGTGCAGGCTACCAGGGAAAAAGCTGCCCATGAGAGCACCACAGAAGCCCAGAGGTTAGCCCTACAACCGAAGGATAAACCAGCAGCAGCCCCAAAAGCTGCTCATAAGAGATCCTGGAATTGGAAAAGTTTGAGGCTGATAGTCTCAAAAGGGATCTCTGTGATCAAACCTATCACAATCTCCTCCAGTCAGGAGCTTTTGTGGGTTGTTCCCCTGATGAACAGCTCAAGCTCCCTGCTGGTGACTGAGAGCTGATGGGCTATGGCTGTGGTCAGAGGACCGGCACAGAACCTGAAGACCTGAGTTCAAAATCCCTCACAACTGATCCTTCAGATCATCATCCCTGCTGAGTCTTTGGAGCCCACGGAGAAGAAGTCACCCTACGTACATCTAAACTCTCTTCCCTAAAAGGACCTATAGAAAGATATTATGAGGTAGGAGGTTGTTTTCAGCTGTTTTCCTCTTCTGGAGGGTATACCTCTGTCCTAAGGCAAGTTATATAAAGTTGCCTTCGGGCAGTGGTATGTAATATAGCATTCATATAAAGTTATGTAATATAGCATGTTAGTGAGGTGTTTTTTCAGATTCAGCCTTCTTATCTCTTAATGAGCAAAAAGAGGGACAATTTCAGTTGAAAAAGTACATTTGCTTTCATTCTTTCTGTTACAAGAAACACTACACACTGCACTTTTATATTATAAATATCAGCACGACTGTATTACAACATTTGAATCTGGGGAACAAATGCATTAAGTTAAATGATAATCTTATTACCGCTGCGGAAAGCATCAATAAACAGGAGCTTTTCTTGCTCAGAAACAAACAAATAAAAAACAGATTGCCAATTAAAATCTCTGCATCATTAACACAAAGGACAGATCTATATTCTTTTCAAATGCACAACAGAAACTGCCATCAGCAGACTTAGTTATTATGATGCTATCACAGTGGCAGTATTTGCAGGTACTTATGGTTCCTTTCGATTAAAGATCCAGATTCCAGTGCTAAGTCTATTCAGGAAACAGCAGCAGTCTGTCTGAAATATTACATCTCTTTATCCATTAATATTATCAGTCCTGATTTTATTTACTGTTCTACCTCGGACAGTATCCTAATTTCCAACCTGATATACAATATAAGAGTTCAAATAAAAATCTCACAATTCAAAATATACATCCGTTGTGCCTCAAGCACGCCTTGACTTGAGGCAATGTGGCCCATTAGCTACTGTCTAAAGCACAGCCCTGGGGTATAGGGTAGCACAGCCTAATGGCTATAGTCAATAGTTTGGGGCAACAGCCCTGGCAGTGGGGCTGGTGGAGCAGGGTGCACCCGAGCCCGCCGCCCAAGGCCCAGTTAGTGGCAGAGTGCTCCACCACTTGCTCAGCAGGGAATCCAACTGCAACGCATCAAGCTCACTTGGGTGGAAGATACCACTTGCTCACCCTTCCTGGGTCACTTCCTACCAGAATCAGCATGGGGATGATCCATGTGATCTCTGATTTCTCCGGTTCTGCAGCACCAGCCTCTCCCCAGGACTCCTCTGGTTCTGACAGTTCAATGCAGCCTTCCGGGTCTCTGGCAGGGGTCTTTCTGGAACTCCTGCAGACTTGATACCGTCTATCTTGCCACAGTAGATCTACAGTTCAGGCAACAGCTCTTCAAGGTTTCCTACATATGCTAGCAATTGGCTTCAGCTGTTACTTGAAACAATCACTTCAGAGAAAGACAAGGTAGTTCACTGTTCATGTCCATTCATGCCATAGCCTCTTTGCTGAATGAGCCAAAAGAAGTGCCTCTAATTATGGTGTAGGTAATTTACATGCAGACTGTTATATAAATCACACATAGGGAGCCAGGTCTAGAATCCTGATATTTGAATTTCAAAAAGACAGGTCTCTGTT